TTGGTCGGTTAAAAAGCTCCTTTCATTTATAGGTACTTTAATTTTGCAAAAACACTTCAAAAAGTCTTTACATTTACACAATGAAATATCAAATAACTGTTTTTCTCCAAATTCTCGAAAACGAATAACTTTGGGTGATATATTTAACTTGCCATCCTTTTTTATAGGCTTTTTAATATCGCGATATTTCTTGTGATACTCCTTTATCTTGTATAAAATTTGTTGGTCAGATACTACAGAAATAGAACTTTTTTCCCACAAAACTTTTAACTCATTTATTAACGACAAACACAAATTACCCAAACTCGGCTCTTGTTTATTTAAATTTAAAAGTTCTTGTCTTAAAAACAAATAATGTCTAATAATGTCGGCATAGGTTGGAAGCATATTGTCTGTAAATATTTTTGGATCACCAAACACCGGACAGAATGATTCTAAACGCGTTTGAGGCATATTTATTAACAAAAGAAAAACAACACTAACGAAACAACTGCACTGCGGCTTGCGACACTGTTATTGTTGAACTGAAGCACCTTGCCCTGCGGCCTGCAACAAGTCCGTGCTTGTTGCTAAGGCACGACTCTAGACGATAATTTCCGAAGTTTATAATCAATTTGTATTAAAATTAATATGGTAAGCGCTCGAATCGGCCTAGATATTATTTGCATTTAGTTAAAAAACTATACAAGTTTTTTGGATATTTATACTACAAAGCTAAAAAACAAGGTCATTTGGGCAGCCAAAGGACATATGCGATTTAAATGAGATTTTGCACAGTAATAACATTTATTCAAAGGCAACTATTCCGCATATAGGCTAAGTGAAATTCAAAAATATTTTTTTTCGCTCCACCCTAATGTACACGTGTGGATTAGCACAGGTCCGGCATTTAAATTTAAATTATCTTAAGATTTATCTGTTATGTTTAAATGTGTTATAAACAACTTTATTTTGTAAGTTTTGCTTGTATTTTATTGTTAACTTTATTAATAACTTTTGACATACCTATTTGAACTAAAAATCTTAAATAACCTATAAAACCCTAAAAAATCAACTGATATATTGTTTAATTATTAGGTGTTCATTTTATTAAGAAACTTGTTTTTTCATTTATTAAAAATTACTTAAATGAATTAGCAATTTTGTTCCTTTTTCTTTGTGCCTCTATATTTGGTACTTGATGTTCATGCATCTGCTGAAAATCTGTAGATAATTCAATTTCATATTCTTCCATATCTTCGACAAAAAAATCTTCATTCAGCAAACAAAAATTATGCAAAATACAGCAAATGGTCAGAATCTGAACTGCTCTGTCAATAGAATTGACATCTATGTATTTTAGGATCATCCATCCATTTTAAAAGGCCAAATGCATGTTCAATTATTACTCTGGTTGAACTGAATTCAGTATTATGTTAGATCTGTTTGGTGGATAATTTACTATTTTCATAAGGAGTCTTTAACCATTTAGATACAGAATACGCAGAATCACCTAATAAGTGATACCCCTCTCCAAATCGTTCCAAGTTTCTATATGTAGAATATTTGAAAACCTGAAAAAAAAAACATACATGAAAAAGATTGAAATAAACCATGGTTCTTCAAAAAATTGGCACACTAAGTTACTTACACGGGAGTCATGTGCTGAACCAGGAAATTTCACAAATACATAAGTAAATATTTTTCAGGCTGTGCATATGGCTTGCAAAAATATTGATTGAAAAAACTTGTAGCAGTTTCATTGTTTTCTAAAAGGTGTTAAGGCCCATTGAAAGCCAATGCAAGCCTTTCCCGGGAATTGTCTGATTTTGAAGACAGATTTATAGTGATTTAAGCTCAATTTAAGATTTTACAATTTTCCATACAGGAAAATGGTAAAATTTATTATACTCAGGGTTGTGAATTCTCAGTTGTTTATTTTGGAACTTTTATGATTATCTGAATTTGAACAAGGCGCCACCTGTTTTGACTATATTAAAAAAATATACTTTTTCAGAGAAAAACAAAATAGGAAACAAAACTATACTATGACAACTGTCAAGATAAGGTACGATAAGCTTAAATTCAAATGAATATCAGGTAAATTAAAACAGATAAATTCAATTTAGATTTTATTATCCACAATAATGACAAATGCAGAACTGAGGGTTCTGGGAAAAAACAAAATATAGTTACAGTTGAACTGAAGGTTCCAAATGTAGAAAAATATAAAACAATAAGTGACAAATGCAGAACTGAGGGTTCTGAAAAAAAAAACAAAATATAGTTAAAGTTGAACTGAAGGTTCCAAAAGACAATTGATGATGTAGAAAAATATAAAACTTAGGTATTAAATAAATTGTTATAAAAAAATGATATTCGCAATTTAAGTAACCTGTACACAATTAAATACAAGTAAGCTCGGCTTTGTTTCGGTTTAAGTTACCGGATGACTAAGCTGAGGGATGGTCCTGCTGGTTCTGGAGGTAATCGAGCCTCTTCAGAAGTTCAAACGAGGTGATGGTGCATTCAGTTCCTATTCAGGAAGGAGCCTTGTCCACTATAAGGTCTCTCGATTCTATGTGTTGCAGATTCACCGATGTTCTGATGCTGAGGAACTCGATTTCCACTTGGATCGACTAACTTTCAAAACTTTTCTGGTCTGTTGGCTTAACTTGTCATCGGTAATACTCCCAGTGCATGAAAATTAAACATATGTGTGTGTGAGCTACTTATATTGGCAATACAGAAAAATGGTGGTTAAAAGACGTCTTTTACTACCCCTGAGGTTACGTAAATCGCCCAAAAGACTGATAATAATGAAGGAATGCTATTATTCCCCAACGATATACCCTTAACGAGGTTCTAGACCATTTAGTCTGATAATTATATCCACCTGTGTGAAAAAAATAATATTAAAACTAGATAAGTTAACAGAAGGTTAACTTATTCAGAAAGTTAACTGAAACTTAAAATTATGTAGCACTGATGCCAAAGTTAAGCTTAGTTGGTAAACTAATAGTTACCCCCTTGATTACTTTAAAACCATGAAGTGGTATCCTAAATAAATCTGAAAAAGGAATCAATTAAATATAATTGAATTGATTTAAATCCCCGAACATATTAAAATTATCTACAGATAATTTAGACAATAGATTAACAATCTAAATCCCATATAACCCTATGGTTATATCAAACAAAAACCCCAAATATAATAAAATAATGAAAAAACTTAAAAGGAAATAGGATAGTAGAGATAGAATTAGAGTAGGGTACCTTTTTTATTAATTAACTGGCATTTAGTAGCGTAGCTTCCTTTATCAGGAACTATGCCTAAGTTAATTAATAAAAAAGTACTAAGAAAGTGAAGAGAACAGATGAGAGAAGAAAGAAATAAGCAACCTTTGTATATAAGCTGTCCGGAAGCCGCTTTATCTCCGTGTATTATTAGTGAATTAGGTTTAATATTTCGTGGCGATAAGTAAAGTAGCAAATCTACAATATTTCTCCAAAAGACAAATTATTACCTAAACACCGCACCTAGAATAATTAGTTAACCAAACAATTACAATAATCCAGTAATTAGCGCTTCATCGATTTGTTACACAATAGAAAAAAAACAATGAACAAATTATCATAAAATTTAATTTTATTTTAACACTGCAAATTATCCATCGACAAATTGACACAAATCGATAAATCCCTGTTCACCGGAAAAACACTCTTAAATAGCGTAGCGATAAAGGTTAAAATTCGTTGCAGGTATGAAGTTTAAACTATGCCATGTGCATTTACAACGCGATAAAGGTCAAAATCCCTTGTTAAGACACAAAACGGCTTTTTCTCCACGAAAAAATACCCTCAAATAGTTGAAAACTATATCAAATGATGCAAATACACCCTTAATTAACAAGGTAGATCTAAATTAGTGGAAGATACATTCGTTAATCACTAATAAATTCCTGCAACAAATACTCTTAGATAATTAATGAAATTCTAACGCAGCATTTAGCCAACAATTCACCTTAAAAGACAAATAAAGAAAACGCTCTACATTACCTATTGCTAAACACTAAACCATTTCACTATAACCACACTTTGATTAAAACTAAACTCTCCGGAGATAAGAAAAGAAAAGAAAAGAAATAGGTGGGTTGAATTTACAAAATCAAAAGCTCTCCGCGCGCGCGCCCACACACACACACACACACACGCACACACGCACACACGCACACACGCACACACGCACACACGCACACACGCACACACGCACACACGCACACACGCACACACGCACACACGCACCCACGCACACACGCACACACGCACACACCCACACACCCACACACACACACACACACACACACACACACACACACACACACACACACACAGACACACACACACACACACACACACACAGTATTACAGGCCCGAGTCGCGTAAAATCCCATCCTGTATAAACTGGATCGGATTCTGCGAGACCCATTCCATCCACCCCCTTGCAAGACGTCTGGCAAGGTCCTCAGTGAAAAATCATCAGATTTGTATGCCATGCCTACTAAAAGGGCATGTAGTATGACATACTATCATTCATTTAATCAGAGTGGCTGAAGGCCTTAACTCTGATGCGTCACAGACACAGACACACACACAGTATTACAGGCCCGAGTCGCGTAAAATCCCATCCTGTATAAACTGGATCGGATTCTGCGAGACCCATTCCATCCACCCCCTTGCAAGACGTCTGGCAAGGTCCTCAGTGAAAAATCATCAGATTTGTATGCCATGCCTACTAAAAGGGCATGTAGTATGACATACTATCATTCATTTAATCAGAGTGGCTGAAGGCCTTAACTCTGATGCGTCGTGTGTTTCTTCGCATGTGTGAGTTTTGTCCACCGTCCTGCAAGCAATTTTTCAGTCCCCACGTTTCGGTGACTAAAAGATCGCTCATCCTCAGGCGGTTTGTCGATAGTCTGTGACAGTCCGATGTCTGCCGTCGCTTCTGTTGTTTATTGTCATGTCGCTGTTTTCCTAATAGGGAATCTGAAAAAGAAAGTATAGATTAGCTATGGTATAGGTTATCTATACTTACCTTTTAGTTTGTGTCCTGAGTTAATATCTTCCGAGGTCTAGCATGCCTCGGCCAGTCTTGTAGGTCATAATTGGTAAGATCCCGTAGTTCGGCGTTGGGGTGAGTCTCCAGTGCTAGAAACACACTTTCTGCCTTCCTCCTCATGAGTTCTAGTACCCTGGTGGATTCTAGATCCCTATGAATGATTCGGTTCGGTGTGTATCTGTAGGCGTTCACTGCCGTGCGTAAGCTGATGTTATGCTGGGCTTGGATCTTTTTCCTGTTCGTCCTGCAAGTGTATCCCCAAGCAGTTGAGGCATACAGCAGGATTGGTAGTATCACGGCGTTTATTATCCGGAGTTTCGTCTTGAGAAGTAAATTGCTTCTTCTGCCGTTGAGGCAATTTAGCTTCGCTCTTTCGCCTTATTTACCACCATGGTCACTTGCTTCGTGAAGGTTAGTCCTTGGTCTATCTCTACTCCTAGGTATTTTGCTGTGCGACTCCATGGTATGTCGTGTCCATTTAATTCGATCTCCTGGTCTGGAGTATGTCTTCTCTTCTTGAACAACACAGCTTGGCTTTTCTCGGCATTTATTTTAATCTTCCATTTGACGCACCATTCCTGAATTTCTGTTGCTGCTTCCTGCAGTAGCCTTGTTACCGTTCTTGCGCTGGTGCTCGAGGCTGCTATGACCGTATCGTCTGCGTAGAGTGACATGGTGGTATTAGGTTTTTTGGGGATGTCTGCAGTATATATGGTATACAACAGTGGTGATAGTACCGCTCCTTGAGGTACCCCTACTTCTGTGATTCCAACTCTCGACAGGATGTGTCCTGCCTTGATCTGGAACTTCCGTTCACTGAGGTACGACTTAAGTAGTTCCATCATTCCTGTTGTATATCCTTGGTCCTTCATCTTGAAAACGAGTCCTTGATGCCACACTCGATCGAATGCCTTACTGACATCCAAGAATATGGCTCCAGTTGACTGTCTCCAGTTGAATCGCTTGGTAATGTGTTCCACTAGTCTCAGGACCTGGAGTTCGCAGGAGTGTTGGGGTCTGAAGCCAAACTGCTCGTCAGGGATGATGTTGAGTTCGCTGGTTTGGTCCTTGAGCAATTTTACTAAGCGCTGGCAGCAAGCTGATTGGCCTGTAATTTTGTGGGAAAGTGGGGTCCTTGTTTGGTTTGGGGATCATCAGCACCTCTGCAGTTTTCCAAAGTCTTGGGAAGTACTGTGTTCTTAAAATCCCGTTGATGATGGTGGTGAGGAAGACTATGGCTTTCTGCGGTAGGTGTTTGATCGCTCGGTTCGAGATTCTGTCACGTCCTGGTGCTTTCTTGGCTGAAACATACTTGATTATATTTTTTACCTCATCCGGAGAAGTGGGGGCAAGGCTCTGAATATTCTCAGGTACGTTATCCCAGTCGTTTTCTACAGCTTCAGTGAAGTCGATGTCCTCGTCGTCGTGGTCATTCAGCTGGGATTCGGTCTCAAAGGAGGTGGCGAAAACTTCTGCTTTGTCCTCGAGCGTGCAGACGAGTCCATTTGGTCCATGTAGCGTAGGAATCCGTCTATACGGATTTCTCAGAACTTTTTGGAGGGTCCATAATCCGGGTTTTTGTGGATCTAGTTCATCTAGATGTTGTTTCCACATGTCGTCTTGGTGTTGCCTTAACTCATCTCTAACATGTAGTCCTAGATTGTTGGCATGTCTCTTGTCCATTTCATTGCGTGTTCTGTTTGCACGTCTTCTGGCTCTCCTTTTTTCTACAATCAGGTCCTTCAATTCTTGGCTGATGGCTTTGAATTTACTATGTTTAACTGTCGCTGTCTCTCTTGTGCTGGTACTTATTGCCTGTCTGATGACGTTTTCATAATGTTCTAGCGCTAGGTCCACGTCTTCGTGGGTTTCTCTCCTTGGGATGTTTCCTAGGTTTCCTCCCACTAGGCGCTTGAATTGTATCCAGTTCGTCCTCGATACGGTCTTGGGTACATCTTCCCCTTCTTCGTCTCCCAGTTGGAGTAGAATAGGGTTGTGTGATCCGAAACCTTCTTGCATAGAGTACATTTCGACAGGAAATGTGCAATCTCTAAGTAAGGCTATGTCGATGACGGCTGGTACTCCTCTCGGTGGGAAGTGTGTTGGTTCCTCTGGTCCTATTGCTGAACATTGTGGGTTGTCATCTAGGTAATCCACGAGTGCCCGTCCTTTAGGGTTTGTAGTCGTGCTGTTCCAGTTTGGAGATTTTGCGTTAAGATCGCCGATCAATATTACCTCGGTGTTGGGTGGTATGAGTGCATCAAGGTCTTCTATGTGTAGGATGTCCTGTGGTCTGAGGTATGCTGATACTACGTTTAAGTTGCCATGGTTGGTTCTGATGGTAACGGTAGTAGCTTCCATAGTCCTCAGTCCATCGGGGGTTGGAGTGTGGTAGTGGTCGATCTCCTTCCTCACTAGAATCGCTGTGCCTCCAGAATTTCCTCTATGATCATTTCTATACATATCGTATCCTAGAAACTTTAAGTTGACATTTTCATGTAACTTTGTTTCCTGGAGTGCGATAATGTCTAGATTTTCTCTTTCGATTAATTCTTCCAGCAGGAGTTTATTGACTCGGATGCCTCCGGAGTTCCATGATGCGATCTTCAGTTGACCTGGTTGTATCGGTGTGTTTCTCATTTCTGGTTAGTGGGGAAAATTTGGGTGAGCATTTCAGTCACACATCTCTGGCAGGTTTCCATGATAAGGCGATGCATGTCCTGGGACAGTGACTTGAATACTGCAGCGGGGGTGGCAGTAGTGGCTGCGGGGGCGGCGGTGTTTGCATAGGATACGCCTTGTATCCTGTTTGCGGGTCTCTGTATTGTTTTGGGGCTGGCCTTTTGGGCGGTCTTGGGTTTGGGGGCTTTGGGGCATCCTCTGTAGCTAGCGGGGTGTACTCCTCCACAGTTTGCGCAGGTGGGGTCTGATTGTCTATCTCTTGGGCATGCGTCAGCTCGATGTGGGCCTCCGCATCTAACGCACCTGACGTCGTCATGGCAGTTGGATTGGGCGTGGTGGAAGCCTTGGCATCGGTAGCACTGGGCAATAGTAGATGAGGCTCTCAGTTTTTCTACTTTCATGACTACATTACATAGTCGGTTAATCTTCATGATGGCTTCTTCGTCTTTCTGGTTCACATCCACTAGGTATAGTGGTATGACGGACTTGTTATATCGCGATTTCATATGCTGTACTTTCAGCGGCGTGATGCCTTGAAGTATCAACTCGTTTGTCACTTCTTCGGGGGAGTTGTGGGTGGGTACACCTCGTAGTACCGCTTTAAATGGCTTATCCTCCCGCAGGGTGTAGCAGTAGAATTTTGTCTTCATTTCCTCGAAATACTTTACCGTTTTACGGTAATATTCCGAAGAATTGGTGTAAATTCTTAGACCGCCGTTTTGCAGTCTAGGGTCCTGGAAGTTGATGTTACGGCTTTTCAAGCCGCGGTGGAGTGAGTTCCATCTCGTCGTGTCCTTCAGTACAATTGGAGGAATTTTCACCTTTGGTGCCTCCTGTAATGTCTCTTCGTTTTCTACATGTGTTTCTGTTTCAACAGTGGCACTGGGCGTGCTTTTTACTGTCTCAGTAATCTTCTTTTTCGGTATGACCCCGTGGGCGCCGTCGAGTCTCTCGTTATCGGATTCAGGATGATTTCGCTTCCTCCTCTCTCTTCTTAGAACGTTCTTTGTGGGTTTTGGTTTTTCAAAACCTTTTTCGTCTTCGTCAGAGTCTGTTTCCGGAAGCTTAGCTTCTTCGGCACTCATATAATCGTCAGCAAACGTGGCGTTTTGCTCGTTTGTTTCATCGATTTCCTTAGTTTCTTGTCCTTTGTCCTCTTCTGGTTTTTCAGGCTTTTGCTGATCAGCCATCATTTTTTCTATTTTCTGAAGTAGAATATCCATTTTGTCGCTAAGCTTAGCGTTGGCGCTCTCCAGGCCTGCTATTCTTAGCATAAGACGGTCGTTCGTCTCTTGTAAATCATTTTGCGCTGCGATTGCTTTGTTGTACTTCTCTTCCGCTTTCTCCAGCTTTAGTTTATACTTGTCTCTCTGGGAAGACAAGTCCCTATCTTTCTTGATTGCTTTTGGGACGGTGCCCGTGCCCACAGGGGCCATTTCCCTTGAGTCGTACCTCCTGAAATAAATTTAAAGGTCTCCTCTTTCAAAAAAGACCTTTAATTTTTAGGATTAAAAATAAAAATAAAATTATTTTGTCCTGTGAAAAGAATTATTAATATCTGAAAAATAAATTTTATGGTTATATAAAATTTTTATAGTTTTTAGAGAAAAAGAACCTGAAATATAAATTTATGATTAAGTCATTCTGAAAATAAAATAATAATTACAGAATCTGAAATAAATGTTAAATGTGTTAAACAATCTGAAATAAAGAAAATTTTGTTAAAAGAATCTGAAAATAAAATATTGATTATAAATCTGAAATAAATGTTTATGATTAGACAATCTGAAATAAAAGAAAATTGGTTAAATAATCTGAAAAGAAATAATAGTTAATAAATCTGGAATAAAATAAATGATTAAAAATCGAAATTAATAACACTTATGTAAAATCGCTATGATGAACGCTGCCTAGGCGATTACAGACCGTTCCGTCGCTTGTAGTAAATATCTCACGTCGCACACTAAACACTCAGGTGACTGTTCAGTCTCGCTGCTCGATCTCGATGATATATATATATATATATATATATATACGTAGCCAAATACAAAAGCGAGGCCCGATGTAGTCAACACACCACCCGAGGCCCTCCTGAAGGAGTGATTTTTTGAATATATATTTTAATGTTTTAGAATGTACTAATAATGTTAAATTATAACGCCACAAGAGGGGTAATATATTTCTAAAATTTAAACATACATGTTTGCAACGTGCATGCGAGTCCCTTAACAATGTTTAACTGACATGAGAGGCCTTCTGTTTATAAATTACTTTTTCAATATACATACGAGTCCCTGCGACGTTGTCAAGATGGGCCCATGAAATTTGCCCTTCAAAAGGTTTGACTCGAAGAATTTTTACAGATCTTTACAACAAATCTCTTTTCTATGAGTTCGCGCGTATAGTGGTATAATAGGTTTGTTCCAACACGTGCGAAAACGGTAATATTACGATACAAAGTATGCGGTCTGTACAAAAATTGTTTACAGCGTTTGACTTGTTCCGAAATATTATCGATTCCACTTTGTGCGTTTTTAGAATAATCTATTTTACGGAGAGAAAAATGTTATGTAGATAAGTTGTAGGTATTATAGAGATGCCTATAAAAGGAGATATATCTTTATTTGTTTGTTTTGTTGTATTCTAAATAAAAAAAAAAGGTTGGCGAGGGTATTAATTTAAACTATATCATCCGTTTAAAACACTAAATCTCTGACTTTAATTATTGTTTTTGCCCTCTAACATAAAACATTAACAATAGTAATACAGACAAAACAAAACTATAATTTTAATCGTGAATCTGTCTCGCTCAACGCTGGGTTCCAATGATTTAATTACGCCAATTTGACATCAGCACAGATTTTTCCAAAATGAGGAATACAGATTTTTATTTTTACAGAGGGTGAGAGGAATAATTTATATTGCCAATTATCTTTGTCTAGAAGATTAAGTGAAAATATAGACTTTTAAAATATATTTTTTTTAATTTTAAGTTAAAGCAAAAATATAAAATTATTCAAAGAAATGTTTCTAAAGTTGGCTTTAGAAAAATTTACGCATGTCGGAGCATTAAATTATTTTTCTTTTTAAGTTTTATTTTGAATTTAATTCAGAATCGTTCGTAGTTATTACGGACATGGGACATGAATCGTATCTTTATATTTGTCGATCATGGCCTACTTCAGAAACATTTTTTTTAGATAACTTTTTTTGTAAATAAAGTTCTGTGTTCCGCTGGAACCACTGTTTCAAAATTTGTTTTAGTTTTTATGGAAAACAAAGCAAACATTTTAATATCACTTTTTTTAAGCTTTTAAGAATTTGTATTCCTACTTTCTTTTTATCAGTTTGAAAGAGCTCACCTGCTAAGCGATTCCGGTCTAATACCTGGACCGGTTAATATCAGTTCTAAAGGCCATCTAGGCCCGCAGCTTTTGATATAACATTCTTTCCCAATTTACGTCATTTTGACGAAAAAAATATATATACAGGGTGAGTCGGGAGGAGCGCACCAAACTCTAGGAGTATATTATACACGTGAAAATAATTTTAAAAACTCATGTGTTCTTATCCGATTTTCATTTGTTTTCAAGTTATGGCGTAATAAAAAATGTTCATCTAGCCTTCCACTTCTGAATTTTAACATTATCAAAGTATGCCATATGTTCAAGGCTCAAAGGCATTTGATAATTCTGACGGTTTGATGAACTGTCAGTGTACAGTGAACAGTAACTGAACGTTTAATTTCGAATTTATGTAATTGTTAGTGTTGCAAAATGCCAGATACTTATTCAAATTTAGAATAAGAGAATTTTATGTGTAAATTTGTTTATTTGTTAATATGCTATAACTTGAAAACAAATGAAAATCGGATAAGAACATGAGTTTTTTTACATTATTTTCACGTGTATAATATACTCCTAGAGCTTGGTGCGCTCCTCCTGACTCACCCTGTATAAACAACGTATTCTTGTATCTATAACAATTTATGATATAGGGTGTTCACCAGGGGTGTTAAATACCAGAATTCATAATAATCGTTTTCATTAGTTTTGGTGAAAATTGATACACATTTTAGTGACAGTACCTACTTGTGTTAACCAATGATAAAAAAGTTGAATAAAAATATTTTAGAGTAACATTTAGCAATATAGCAATTTTTTATATTTTATGAACTATTTTGAATGAAAATAAAAATAAAAAATTGTCATAGAAAGATGAATGTCTTGTTCCTACTTCAGAATTAATTAATTTACCAGATAATAAAGTGACTCTTTATTTGAATAGTTTAGAATCAATATCAAATTTGTATATTTTCGATTTTGTATACGAGATTGGATGCACTGAAAAAGCATATACATTATTACAGCCTGTCAATTTTACGTCAAAAAGTCTTCAAGACGTAAGTGACAATGTAAAGAAATTGTATTATTTATATTGATTAATAACAAATTATAAAGAATTTTCATTGAAGATGTTTTTTTTTATTTATTATGTTTGTCATGTTTGTTTTAAAATAATATTGATGTTGAAAACAATATTGGCAATGTTAATGTAGGTAACAATATTGGTAAAAATGAAAACATTTTAATTTCAAAAAATGATAATGTTCCTTTTTTAATTGAAACTAACAAAAATGAAAATGATGGAATCATTACAAATGAGGTAAGTATCTATAATTTACAGATTTTAAATTATTATTTCAAATAAGTTGAAGACGGATATAAAGGATGAAGATAGGAAGAATAAATTCTTGTACAAGACTAAAAAATATTATTTAATATCTAGTAAAATTAAAGGTTAAAAAGTCTTATCTTTATTGTAAATCTATTAGAAACACATTTTATAGAAAACTAGATGAGAACACATACGTCAAAAAAAATATTTAAAGTGGCATGTCGTGTTTTTTAGTTAGTTACATGGAAAGGGGGAGGCAGTGAATAACATGTAGGTACTTTGTCCCGGTGGTGGGAGCTGTCGTTTAACCTGTCAAATTCAAAATAACGTTTCACATCGATGGAGTTTTTCGTCTTAGCTGAAAATAAAATAATTTACTTCTAGACGTCTATAACAATAAAAAAACTCTTCAGTGGCGGAGCAAGACCTAAATTTTATGTGGGCAAGATATATTTTTGCAAGGACCTCTGGAGGCGCAAGAAGACGTATTTTATATAGAGAAATAACATTAAAACTTGTATAAAAAAATGCTAACAACTCTTAGACTTTAACTAATATTTTTAAGTAATTATTACTAGCAGTAAAGAATTACAGGAACATAAATTTCCTGCTTTTAGCTTTACTGAACTCTTGTACCATAATCCAGATTATATATCTGCTTCAATAGATAAAATTGACAATGCTAAAGTCTTTGCTGGCCCATTGTACTTCTTAATTTTTTATTAGTTTTAATTTTGAGAAGCTCCTTTCAGCAGTTGTACTTACTGGTACTGTTAACAAAATTTGAATAACAATATAAATATTTGGATACATTTCTTTCAACTTATTTTCTATTATGTATTGGAGCAGCTGTTTTACACCTTTATTGAAATCAGGTAAATTTAGGATCATTATTTGTAAATCTTCATAAAATTCGTAAGGTTTGAAATCACTACTCTCACCCACTCGAGAACAGTCCACTTTAAATAATTTTAAAGGTGATGCTTTTAAAAACAAATACAAAAATAAGTCAAAAATCATATAAAGGGGGATGTCTTAGGAAAGAAAGAGAAAAGAAAAAAAAAGCGAAAAGTAAAGAAAGAGAAAGAGCGCAAACAAAAACGCAAAAGACGCACCTTTTAAATTATTTACTTTTCCCCTCTAGAATCGAATATTAGAGGAGAATAAAAAAAAGTAAACCAAATCGGAACGTTTTGTTAAATATAATAATTCGATTTTTAGTTTTTAATATAATTATATTGTTTTATAAATAAAGTAGTTTATTTTTAATATTCTTGCATAGAACGATTGCCAAAAAGCAGTTTTGAATTGACACACTATATGTGCGTAATAGTTTAAATATTTCTCTTTAACGAGCAAAACTTTTAAAGGTTCTAACCATAAAACCATTTTTTTTTACTTATTTTAGTTCAATGGACCGGTTTACTTTTTATTTAATATTTATCCCTTTCAATCAGTGGATTCTCACATCAAAATCTGTTTATACAAACAGAAATAAAAATAAGCGAATATATGGCCATTTACAGGATTTTACCAATGTAGCATACCTACTTAGTAAAAATTGTAGTTTGTGCAACAAGAGTAGATATGGACAATCAACTTGAGTCGTACAGTATATTTTTTCTACGACCCACTAACAAAAATCTACAAATTTAAAAAATTATTTTAGGTTGTTAAGCCAAAATAATTAATTTTAAAATAATTAATGAATTTTATTAATTTATAAATTAAAATAAAATTAAAAAAATTGTCTCGAGCACGAATTCAAACTTGAGCTATTCGCGTGAAAAGCAAATGCTCTGCTCACACCTCCACGGCCACTTTTGTGATTTTAGTTTTAATACTCTTAATTAAATTAGTTTCATAAAGATTGATAAAAATTTTCAAAATGTTAACCAAATAATACTAAAAATGATATTATTTATCGTTTCTACACAAAAATAACTTTCATTTTAATATATATTTAATCTTAATAACCAAAAAATATAATGGCAATTAGTTTGACAGAGTTGTCACTTATTTAAAATAATAATGGTTGGGTGTCTAAAATATGAACTATTATTGGTGGATTTAATTTTTTTGCAGTCTTCTCACTACCTAGAATGGATATGAAATATATTCGTTTAGTTGAACGCAATAGCATACTTTTTCGTCTTGTAATCTGAGCGTAGATAAGCTAATATCTATGTGGGTGTAAAAAAACGATATTACCTATTTGTTATATCACTACGGCGCCACTTCCAGAGATATACATATATTGGAACAAAAAACAGATTTTGATAATGTTTAGAATTTGACATTCTTTCTTATTTAGAATAATTCGTTATTCGTTGTTTTTTATATTAAAGTTAAAATAGAGAGTGTTTGAAAGTTAACATTCTTCTATATAATTTTTGCTTACATATAAATAGGTCATATGTGAGAATAAATATTTTTCATAAGTTAAAGACAGCTGCATTAAACTTTTGAGGCGCGAGACCCTTTAGGCCGCGACGCCTAGACGGTGGCCCACGTCGCCCACGCCTTGCGCCGCTTCTGAAACCCTTTTTAAGCATTTTTATCGTCGAGTTTTGGTACTTTTGGTGTAAGTTTAGATATTTTCTTACATCGATAATAGCAAAACTAGACGGCGCAAAGGATTTATTTATTGTTATAGACGACTAGAAGCAAATTATTTCATTCCCAGAAAAAGTTAGACGAGAGCTCATACCACCGGAACAAATATTTATGTTGTTCACCCCTCTCCTGTACCAAACTACAAATAGCAAGCAAAAAACACGACATAAAACGGTCGCCTAAAAAAATATTGTATGCACCTCGGCCGTATGATCATTTTTGGTCTAACCAGCTTGGCCAGGGACGCACATTTCCAATTCAGTTAAAAAAGATCAACTTTACGGCCTTGGTACACAATTATAACAACGGTAACAATTATAATTTTTATCTGTTTTTATTTTTTTGATAATTATTTGTAATGGGATCAACTTGGAGGTTTAGTTTGTTATTTATTGAAAACCCTATTTACAAAACAAAGAAAATTGTGTATCTATTTAAGTAGATCCATTTTTGAAACTTATTTAAACGTTACTCAAGATTTGAGACATTAAAAATATTAAAATATTAGTGTTCTGTACAAAGCTAGAAAATTTTAAATTATCTTAAAAGTCTTACAATAAAAAGTAATGGTTAAATTTATTTTGGGTTCCAACAGCTGATGCCTGGGATATTAAATCCTATTCATCAACATTTTATGTACCTGCTATGAGAAACTAGTAGGGCCTCAGCACACGAACAACGTTGCCATATTTAAGGGACTCGGAATTGACAATGAATAAATACATTTAACGGATATACGAGAGCCTCGCATTGGCAATAGAAATTATATACAAAACGCTCGGAGTGCACCCTAGTAAGAAATATAATGAACTAAAAACCGTATAAGAGGAGATATCCACATCACATATGAGTCCAAAAAAAAAAAATGAGATTGTGGTTTTGGGGGGTTGGGTGATGAAAAATAGCTCTATTTACACGTGTTTGACCTGCGAGGCCCGTTTTCGGGCCTCGCATGTGAAAACCGGGCCTCTAATAGTATCTTGCACATGTATTTATGGGTCTCGTATGTGACAACTATAAATCTATATATATATATATATATATATATATATATATATATATATATATATATATATATATATATATATATATATATATATATATATAGCTCTCCGCACTCGGTTGTACGGCCTTTTATACTCGTCAAGCCCCTGCCTCTGACGTAGCTTATCGTCACCACACATAGAACATTCGATAAACTTCGAATTAATAATACAGGGTGCACTCGAAAAGTTCCTTCTCAAATATTAAATATAAAAATATGAAATAACAACTTCAATGATTTTAACGATATTTATTATCCTTTGTTTGAATAATAAATATAAATATACCAAAAAAATAAAATCCTAACGAGTATCCAAATGCTCGTTACAAACTTTCGATTAGTGTAACTATTTTGCCGATTTAAAGGTGCCTTAATAGCAATGTGGCTACCATAGATTGCACCTATCACATCAATATACCCTGCAATTTCTTTAAACTCCTTAGCAGTACTATTTCTTCCTAATTTGGCCATCTGATATATCATCCTACCAGTTCACATAATAAAATTAAACATCTCTTTGTAACAAGATGAACAGTAGATATTGTTACAATAAATCTATCCGATATAGAAACATGTGTGTCTTCTTTGGCTAAATACAACAGAGTATTGTGGAAATAATTTTCTAGATTCACTTCATTGCGTCCACCAGTATGAATTGTTTGAATTTTACTCTTATCAAGACTTACTTGGAATAGAAGAATATTAAAAGTCTTTCTAGATACCTAAAATTGGAAAAAAAGTCGAATGCTAGGTATTTGGAAATCCACTCCTCATAGAAATTAGGCATTCTTACATGGTATTCTCTAATAGATGATGTCAAAAGTAGAACATCATTATTTAATCCTACAAAATAAAAACAAGGAAGTTTACACTAAATTTAGACGAGATAAACAATCAAACCTAAAATACTAGATAAACTTAGCATATTAAGCACAATGGCTCGGGTTAGAAAACTTGGATTATGCGTCAACAATTCCTCCTGAACAAAAGATGCAATAGGTAGGATTTTTGCTTTTGTAATTTTGACAAATGGTAACTGCCTTCCAAAATAGTCACACACTCTAAACAAGTTACTTTTTTTTATTGATTTGACAATGAAACCTGCAATCTTTTATATGTAGCCTCAAACTGCCTTGAAGTTGGGTTATTATTAAAGCCCCCTCTACTTCTAACAATAATAAAAAAATAAATCTAGGTGAGCCTGGCTAAAGTTATATGTAATAATATATTTCAAAAGGGGCGTTTCCAATGCCAATGATAACATTTTAAATCCTCTTTTTATGGGCTTCATGGGCATGTATTGTTTCAATTTTGAGCACCCAGTAAATGCTACCATACTTTTGTCTACTGATAGACGACGATCTGTTCTGAATGAATCTTTAAACATTTATTTTAAATGAACTAGCATTGGTTTTATTTTATATAGCTTATTATGGGTGGGACTCGTTTTGGAGTATATGCAAAAATATCTGCTTTGAAAAAACATTTGCAATTCGTACATTGTGGAAATTTCTGTCTGTTGACTAATATTTTTGTAGATATATTGAAACCCATTACAATAAAAACACCTAGAAAGGCCGATAATTCTTCTGGATTAGTACATTTGGAAATGGTTTACAGCTCTTACTTTGTTTATTGAATCATTCAGACCTAACTGAAACATGTGGTTCACGTAGTGCCAAATAATTAGGCTTGAATATTTTTTTAGCAATATTTCTGCGACCCCGATGTTTTTCCTAGCATAACGCATGTACCGTTACTTGCAAATGCAATAATGTTTTTTAAGTATGTAGTTATCTTCAAAACTGTAGTTGTTTAAGCATTTAAGGAGATTTTCTGATATGGTCTTATACGTTTGATCGGATAGTTCTAGGACATCAAAGAATGGTGAGTCCTCTTTGAAAACTTCTTACTTCAAATATGCCATAAGAGTAGACTTGCTTCCGGGAATAGTCGATTCGTCTATCATAACTACAAATTTGCCTGATACACCTAAAAATTGTTTCATTACTCTTTTTTTAATTTCCATTGCAATTCTTTTAGAATATAGCCCAAAATCCAAGATATTCAATTTTTGCATCTGCAACAGATCAAAATAGTAATGAAGTAAGCAGTTCTAAAGACAATTTTTTTTGTCACTAACAGCTGTATTCACCAATAAAAGTTAACTGGTTTATCAGAAAAATATTTATTTTTGTATTAGCCGCCGACCATATTTCACGAGTGTTCAAGTTGACAGCTTAAACTTGGGCAGTTGGGAACTTAACTCGCTGATACTGTATGACATATTGACTGTTGTTATCTTGTATTGCAATGTAATGGATGTGTTTACAAATTACAGTCCTAATTAGAAAATCAACACAATTGCATTTAATAAGTGAACACATATATTGCAGAAACTACATTTAATACCGCAACAATTTACAGAATTTTGGTTTTCAACACAATAATGTGTATTATTTTTCGAATCCTCAAGTATAAATGTATTAGAATCACTTTTAGATATCAGAAAGGTACTAGCCATTGCGCTTCTATATCTCGTAATTATTCAATTGACAACAAATTTGCCCATTTTAACTTTTATGATACGCTCTACAGTTTTATCTCTTAAAAACATTAACAGTTGATGAATACTTTTATCTAGCCGTTTCACTTTTTTACCATCCAAATAAAAATAGTTCAAAACTATGTGAAAACTTTCGAGACTCATATTAATATCTACCCCAGACCCTTTTTGGGTAACAATATGCTCATTCTTTAAAATTATTAGAGTAGTTATTACGAAAATAAATTCCAAAATTATATGTATCTGTGTCATTTATGATTTTTTCTACAAAATTTTAAATATTTGTTAAAAAAGTATCTGAGCATAAAGTGTATTGAAGATGTTTTAACATTTTATAAGTGTAAGTTCTTTTTTCAGGATTACCTATTTTTCCAAGGTTAGATTACCAAGCTCTGTCTATATGACAACAGCAAAACAATCTATTGTTGACTGATGTCATTACTTTGCACCAGACATTATAAAAAGTATTATAGTTGCCGCGGTTAATCCAACCATTCGGCAAATTTTCAAAATGACCGACTAACAATTCGCAATTGTTAATTATCAACAGTTTTCATCACCTAATATGTCGATTTTGACAATTTTTTTTGGCGTGCAATTCATTAAAATAACTTTTTTTTAGTGCAGTGTTAATTTATTTGATAAATTTGTACAGGGTGGTTAAAAGTGTACGTCCAATATGAGAATTTCGATGCTTATGAGCTTAGTCCAGCAAATCTTCTTCTTCATATGCACTAAAAAAATAAATCGGTTAATAAATCATTAGAATATTTATGTTATACTATTTACCACTTATTTACACATGTATCCTTGCACTTGCACTATAATGTACAAGTCAGTCCTGCGCGCCGACATGAGCAACGTTGCGAATCACAGCCTGATTTACAGCCGCACTTTTCCAGCTCCCTGCATGCGTGCTGTCCATATAGATGAAAGTGTTGACCAAACCGGCTCCCAGACTTCATTGCGCTGCACCCAACCCCAAGAAATTGGTGTCGGTGGGTCACACTTTAACATGTCCAATGATCTGCCCCAAATTTGACCAGCTTGATATGCAGCACGAAGGCAGTGTTGCAACAGTGCTGCGGAGCTAGGGGGAATTAGGTGTAGCGGCTTATTTTCAGTACAGAACAGGTGCTTTCGAAGCTGATCGACTTTGGAGAATCCTGTAGTTGCAACATACATCATTGATGTAAAGTTTTCAAAAAGTGCTTGAATTCGGAAAAGACAAAAATAAATGCGTCGGTTGCTGACTCACATGACATCTATGTTTTCCATGCTGCTTTTTTTCCTTTTCCGACAAAGAAGGACATACTGTCACACCCAGTAAAGGCATGAAAGCCCCTGAGGCCTACACACCTTTCTCTTCCTAGCGGGATAGCGATTTTGTGAGATGCAATATATCGTCGATTCTTCCCCGACCCAAATAAAACCCATAGTTCTTCTAAACCCATAGCCTGAAGCTCATAAAAAATGACACACACAAAACAACATCAGTGTCAACAGTTTGAACTAAAATATTTTTGGCTCCAAGTCTGACCATGTCCGAAACATGCAACAAAATGCGTCCATCTGCCTCTTCCCATTTTAAACACGATTTTCCGGCTAATGCAGACTCACAATTCTTTGTAGTTAAAATATCATCAACATTCGTAACAATTTCCAAATTATCGTCTGATTGTAGAAGGTTTTTGGCCAGGAGCGCCAATAGTTCGCTTTTATTGTCAGAATTGCCCAAAAAATCGCTCCATTTTTTCGGCAGAAGACCTAAAACATAATAAGAGAACCTGTGATAAAAGTATTACGACTTAAGGACAGCCTTACCTTTAGCTAACACTTGTCTCCGCACCCCTGTTCCCCTCTTCTCACGAGCCTTTTTGATGGTGTCAGTGTTGTAAAGGTCCCATACCACGTCTACCCTCTTACAATTTAGCGAAGATGATTTGCTTTTTATATATGGATAAAATTCCAAATGGAAATACTCCTGAAATGTTTTGGCTACACGTGGAACAACTAAATGCACCATTGCAGCTCCATCACACACTATTCCGTCGCAGTGTTTTGGGTTGGTAGTTTCAACTAAAACTAATTTTTCCAAAATTTCTTTTAAGTTGGATTTATTTCCAGATCTCAGGCCACCATTTAATGAAATGGATGGAGGAATCTAATGGGTCTTGAAGTATGACACATGGCATATCAGATTCTATATTTCTAGACAATATTATTTGACTGGAGCAAGAATATAGCATTTTGCAGGAGCCCTGAGACTTCAATGTCCTTTTCCTGTCTACCTTTATATCATACTTTCTATATGAACGTACACATTCATAATAATGTTTTTCAATATTGTTATGTCTCTTAATTCCTGTTGTTTTAGAATATTGCATATTTTGTCTTTCTTCTTGAGCCATACATGCTGTAAACTCTAAAAATATTTACCAGAAAATGCATTATTTATTTCATAAAAAGCAAATTAAAGACTTACCTTCAAATTTTTCGAACTGTAGCTCTACTAGTTCTGTACATTGTTCATGTTTGTCTCCGCAAATCTTTATTACATTTGAAGAACACATTACATATCTCACCCATGTATTTTCTGGGACAGACATTTTCCACACAACTTGTACATTTTAGGTGTAGTTCTTTATTATTGCCGGTTAATACTTGACTGGCATGAAAACTGTTTAATACGTTCAAAACAAAACACGGGCATAATTGAAACTATCCTATTTCTTGAAATAAGGAAATGAAAATATTATACAAAATCTTTTAATTCACGTCAATTAAATCTACAAAGAAGTAAACATTAAGAAAATTCGTATTTCGTAGGTTATGTTAGGTAGTTGACAGACAGTTAATATTTGATTTGATTGCAAGCACCATTTGGCAACGTCGGTATGGATTCCTCAATTTACACGCTCGTTATTAGATGTGCCGGTCAAGAACGCCATTTTCGCTGTTTAAGTTAGGCTGCACCTATAATTTGGGTGTCAAAATTCTTCTTTGTTTCACCAACACTGGACCGTTGTATTCCATGTCCGTGTCCGAAGAACTCTCATTGATATCTCAGTGGTATCCATACAGCTTAATTAAAATTATTGGGGAACGGATATCTGAACATGTATGGTCAAAATTGTATTCGTTCAGTAAATCATCTTTGGAGTTGTTATTATTAGAAAAAAATAGTATTTTTATTAAGTATCGCTGCTCCCACGCTTATCGGATGGCGAGGGAGGCTTACTCGTTTTCTGAAAAGTTATCTTCAGTAACCTCCAAGCAAGTTATATTTTTCTTTTGAAAAGTTCATGGAAAATTTTTATTATTATCCTCAAAGTGAGTTTAATTTTTGTTTTCCCCGAATTTACACCAGGTTTAAAATGGTTTGTTTAAAAAATATCGTTTTTTCTGATCATTTTTAAAATAGTAATCGGCCTGTCGTAAACGTTCTACACAAGTTAACAAAGAATCAGTTCCCATCAATGTAGCTGAAGTATTAGGAGGAGAATGTCTCGCTATGATGGCAATTAACTGTTCAGTATATGGTGGATATAAATACCTTGCACTGGCCACTTGAGTATTCAAATAGTCTACAAACGATCCATGTTCCTCCTGCTATCTTCCTGACTCCAATTTTAGTTGTAGAGTGGGACCCCAGTATTGTTGTAAAAACCCATTTTAAAATCATTATAAGAATCATACATATGACTGTAAGTCTGAAACCACGTTTTGGCCGAATTTTCCATTAAAGTATTTAAATAAAATTTTAACTGTCTGAAAGAAATTGAATTTACGTCAAAATAAGTTTCAATATTTTCCAAAAATTCTACAGGATTCATTCTTTCTCGATTATAGAAGGTAGGTAAAACCTTTACATGATTTAAATTAATTTCATTTCTTCCCTGAGGAGCAATATCACATTGAGTACTAAATAGCGTGGCATTTTTAAATTACAAAAATTACGATTATTATTTACACTTGAAAATTATCAGGTTGTCGTAAATTGTTAGGATTTTGCATATTAACAGAATTTAAACCATTATTCATATTTACATTCTCACTAAATAAGTGTAAAACATTTAAGGGGGTGATTCCTCATCGAAAAAAAGATAGGATCTTTTATATAAAGAAAATTCATTGGAGCATCCCTTGTTAAGATACATCCCCTTAAAGGGGGTACATAAAATTTGTTTAACAATTTTTTTCACAAACACTAAACAAGTTACAATATTGAAATTAACCTGTCATTTTCTACTACAAAAAAGACACTTAGCCAGTAATTTATTTGGTTTACCCCATGGTTGTAAGGGGTGGAAAACGCAACCCCTAAAATTTCGTTCCATCGTAACTTTTTATCTTATTATTTGATTACCATTTAAAATTTTATTTTCGATAGCCTGTTTCATTCTAAACAAAAAATGTCTTTTGAATTTTTTGCCCAAAATAAACCAATTTGCAGCAAAAAATTATTTTACGAACAACTACAGAGATACATCGTCATAAATGCGAACTGGATTTATTGTTATTTTGTAGTTACTACCTGCATTAAATGATTAAAAAGGGGAATAATCAAAACTAATTTATTAATAACAAAACATACAACATGTAGAAATCATAGTAAATGTTCAATATGTCTACCTTCAGACATTACGTATGCGTCTAGACGTCGGCGCATTGAGCCACGTATTCGCTCAAATAATTCTGGAGTCTCTCTAATTACCCTGCACGCATCGACGATGCGGTTTCTTAAGTCCTCTACATCGCGAACAGGAGTACGATAAACCAAATGCTGCAAATGGCCCCAAGTAGAGAAATCGAGAGGATTAAGATCCGGAGATCGAGCGGGCCAATTCTGTGGTCCTCCTCGACCTATCCACTGATTTGCATATGTTTCAGTTAAATGTTGACGTGCTACTTGACTAAAATGGGTGGGAGCCCCATCATGCATAAAAAACATATCCCTTCTGACGCCCAAAGGACCTTCCTCCAGCAGTACGGGATGCACTTCTCTTAAAGATTGAACGTATACCTCACCATTTAATCGAGGAGGTAGAAAATGAGGCCCAATTAAATAATCACCAATAACTCCGGCCCACACGTTAAGTGTTCTTGATGGTGAGTTTCGACAATAGCGTGAGGGTTTTCATCAGCCCATATGTGGTAATTATGAAAATTAATAATCTTGTTCCGAGAAAAACTACATTCGTCTGTGAATTCTATCGTTTTCAGAAAGTCACGATTTCTTCTAATCATTTCCAGCATCCAATTGCAAAATTCAATACGGTTCGGAAAGTCTCGCGGTAACAGTGCCTGTACTCGTTGCAGATAATAATAATAATAATAATAATAATAGCTTTATTGCCCAACAGTTTCCCATTTACAGGACAATATTCTTAATAGTAAGTAATAATAATAAAGTGGTATCTAAAAATAAAAATTTTGGTAAGGGTATAAGAGATGTTCCTTTAAAATTCGAAATACCGTCATATGATCAACATTTAGCTGGAAAGCAATCTTTCTAGTACTGGTAGTAGGTTGTTCTTCAATAAAATTAAGTAGTGCTTCGTCAAGCTGTAGTGTTCTTACTTCTCGATGGCGACCACAATCGTGCGTTCTTTTGTTGAATGAACCATATTCTCGTAATCGTTGATGAAGTCGGGCAAATATTCTATGTGAAGGATGCTGCCGTTGAGGATACATTTCAGCATATCTTCTAGAAGCTTCTAACCCATTCCCCTGCGACAGACCGTAAACGTAATGCATATCAGCCATTTCCTCATTTGTGTATGCCAATTTAATAACAAGTGAATTATTAAAGTAACAAATTACGAACAGAGCAACAATACACAATTAGTATTACTTCAATTTCAAAAATTTACAAACTGACAGCTTGATTTCAATGTAATTGTCAGTATCGCTAATAGCGGCCTACTAGATAAATTAGTTTCGTATTTTCGTTTTATGGCGATATCTATCTTGTTCGTAAAATAATTTTTTGCTGCGAACTGGTTTATTTTGGGCAAAACATTCAAGAGACATTTTTTGTTTAGAATGAAACAGGCTATCGGAAATAAATTTTTAAATGGTAAACAAATAATAAGACAAAAAGTTACGTTGGAACGAAATTTTAGGGGTTGCGTTTTCCACCCCTTACAACCATGGGTAAACCAAATAAATTACTGGCTAAGTGTCTTTCGTAGTAGAAAATCTCAAATTAATTTCAATATTGTAACTTGTTTAGTGCTTGTGAAAAAAATTGTTAAACAAATTTTATGTACCCCCTTTAAGGGGCTGTATCTTAACAAGGAATGCTCCAATGAAGTTTCTTTATATGAAAGATCCTATCTTTTTTTCGATGAGGAATCACCCCCTTAAATGTTTTACACTTATTTAGTTACACCCATACCTTTTAAAAAACTATGAGAATAAAAATTAGGTAGCGACTGCCGAATGTTGCTTAAATTAAAATTATCATTGTAATGAGGTCTGTAAGAATATTACCCTTTATGCTATAATTCTGAAACTTACTGTATCCATGTTTTTATAATCTGCCGGCTTTGGGTTAACGATCAATGATAGAAAGAAACAAGCACACCTGCATTTAAAATGTTTATTTTACATGAAGAACACTACATTTATTAATTATATTTACACTATGTACACATACTGTACTCAGAACATTTATATATTGGTCGCCATTAGAGAGTGGGTGTTTTTACCCAATTTTCGATGTGTCTACTATAATTTCAGAGGTGTATAACCTAAAAATTCTTCTGTAAGAAAATCCAGAATCTCCTGAAAGTTTTGAAGTTAGTGAATTTATTCCTGAATCAGAAGAAACATCTTCTTCAATCTCCGATTCAGAGGAACTTAATAGTAATGAGCACAATCTTCAAAAACAACTAACTCTCAAAATAATTGAAAAACAACCGAAAGTATATTTAGGATTGTCCAATAGTGTTTTTAAAATTCTTAATGATATTTGTGAAAAGGAGAGTGTAGCTTATATGCACCTTTTAATAACTCTAAGGAAAATAAATTAGATGAATCCTATGTAATTCTTTCCCATGTTTCGGAACAAG